GGCGGGTCGTAAGTGGGATGGTAGGTGTATTTCCCTGTTTTCAGAAAGCCGCTAACCATTTCCCCTGAATTCCTTCCAAAAAATTTCCCTCTCATACTCCAACGCTGTCATCCCAAAAGCCATTGTCTCCATTCATTCCCATCAAAACAAACTCGGCACATTGCTGGAACCCCAAGCCCCTCCCCCACAAAAGTCCTTTTCTCTCCCTCCAACTTTTAAAGGGTGACTTACCTTACTTTTTTCTATGTTTACTTTCAATTTCTCTATACACCCCCCCCCAAACCTGTTCAGTAGCCTTTGCAACTTTTCTTTAGAATCTCCCAAAAGTACAGTATATCACAAAAGGAACTGTGTCAACTCCCATTCTGTAATTGATCCCATAATTTAATCCCCCTCCCCTTGTGGTTTAACATGATTTGTGAATGAACTAGCATCAAAATGAGATTACATAAGAACTAAAAAGGGTTAAACCCCTAAAATGTCCAAAAATAGGTCTCATTTGCGCGCGTAGTGCTCCAAACGTAGATCAAGTTTTTTTTACAAAACAATGTAAAATCAAATTAGATTTATGTTGGCATTTAGTGCTCCCACGTAATCTACATTAATTTTACATTGTTTTTTTAAAAAAAAGTAGATCTACGTTCGGGTGCACATACGCGAACGTAGATATATTTTTTGGGCAGTTTAACCCTTTTACTGTTTCAATTTTTATATCGTCTTAGTGCCCGTTTCGGGGCGTATTTTTACGCAAAATTCTAGTGGCTTCAAACAACGGGAGGAAAGCTGGGAGGCCTACATGAGAGAGAATGGGTCTCATGGTGGGTGTGCACCCTGTGAAAAAAATCTGGGATCAGTGGGGCATTGTGGGAACGCCCTCTTTGGGGTTCATTTTTACCAGTTTTCCCGGGAAGAATACCTCATCCTCGGCGTATGGAGGTCTACTGTTTCCCCTGAAGTTCTAACAGTGATGGAAATGCCCTGGGAAATGAATTTCATGGTTTTGGAGAGGGTGTGACCGAAAGCTGCCAGGGTTTGTAATTTTGATGAAAATCCGATGACCCCCCAACCCCTCCCCTCTGGGCTGGGACACCTCATTCCGTTCACCTGTCCAGGGGGGAAAAAGGAAAAATTTTTTCCCCCTTTTCGGACTCAGATCTGAGCTGTGAAAGTGATAAGATAGGGTTTTAAAGTTATTGACGCAGCTCGGAGTAGCGCGTGAGGGAGAAAATTTGCCAGGAAACGGCTTTGTTCAAAACAGCTGCATTCTGGTTTTGTGCCTTATGCCCTTCCAAGGAAAGGAGTAAATCTGGAGTAATCTGTGGCCCTAACCCCACCTGACAGTGAAGATGATATATTGTTACAATGGGGGTGTGTTTTTAAAAAGTGCGTGGGAAAGGGGAGGGGGGTGGTGGGTTTTGGGGGTGGCATGAGTCATGTGGCACCAGCAGCGGGGCCTGCTACTACCAACGCTGCTGACGCACAAAACAACCAGCCTCACCCAACCCCACCTCCCAAACAGCCACAACCACAACCCCACAACCACAACCACGTTTCAATATCCCGAAACCCCCCAGCAGACCGCATCTGGGGTTGGGAGCAAGGGGGGACGATTTTATTCCAATCCCATGACTTTGATGAAACACAAATGGAATATGCCCTTTTTACATTGGGAAAAAAATGCCACTGAACTAAATGCTTTCATATTCTTTGATGAACCCCCGATGGAATTATTTTCAGGGGAAACCCAACACATCTATGAGTACATCATGGCAAAAACAATTTTTTTCACCAAAATCAGTTAAACCCCGTGAAGGACCAACTGTGACAGAGATGTACCGTTTTTTGCCACAATATGCTTTTGACCAAGGGGGTTTAAGCACACTGTCACACATATGGAAAAAGAACGCCTGATTTCAACCCAGGTTTTTGGACATTTAAAAGGGGTAAATCGTTTTTTGATACTGTTGCTATGTTACACTTTTTTAGACAAAAAAAGGCCTGACAGAATGAAGGTTATATAAGATCAGAAATGTGTTTATGTCCTAAAAAAAAGTGTTGCATGTACTTTTATCCTTTCAGGAAGCTTGTTATTGGGTCTTGATTTTTTTCAAAGGAAGACTTCATTCAGGGATACATACCAAGCAAGAGGGAAAGCTTTGGTATAAAGTTATTTTTCTTGTGATTGCAAAATGGTTTGTTTTTTGGGTATCATTGTGTACACTGGCAGTAATACAAATTTAAATATCAGGAAGTTATGGGTATCTCTGGGGGAGTGGTTTGAACAAAGATGGGAACCATATCTTGGGGAAGGGGCAATAACGATAACTGGTAACCCAAACCCCATACTCAGTGATTTCTTTGAGTGAACATGACAGGGGTGTGTGGCACAGTGCGGGGTAATCGTAAGTGGGGACCCAGAGGTGAGGTGCAGGCCCTTTTCTGCCCAAAGATATCTGGGATTTTTTTGGTGGGATACAAATGTTATGTCACATTGTTTTACATCAGTTCAGAAATGAAAAGGCACACACTGGCAGGGACAATAAAAAGACCAAAGAACCCCCTTCTAAAAAATGCAGCTGTCATGGACTAAACTTTAATATGTCTTAGTGGACAAATGTGACATGCAGATGGGTTTTTCTGATTGTGTGCACAAGATTTTTAAGTGGGTTATAAATTTTTTTTTTCCCTCTTTTGATATTTCCATGCTAAATACTTAAAACATATACAAATTTAAAGGAAACAAACAAACCAAAAAAGGTGAATTTTTTTGTCAGTCATAGCAAATAATCGTTTTAAATGCCCAAGGAGCAACACCCGCAATGACCAGCGTCCACGAAATTACCAACACATGCCATCCGTTTTTAGGGTGGTGATAACTACCCCATACAACTGCCTCCTACTGCTTTCAAAAAAAGTGCCAGAAGAGGTGTTTTGTATGTGGACAACCATAAAAACCCCCTAAAAAAAAAATCCCCGAGACACTCGTTTTATGTGTAGGAGTTCAAGGGCACTCGGGATATACCCCTGTTTTAAAAGTTCCAAAGCGCCAGTTCTAGGAAAGTGTTTAGGACTGTAATATGTATAATATTATGAAAAAATAGTAATAAAACGTTTTGTATTGTTTGTGTAAACAAGTTTTATACACAACTAATAGTGAAAATGTTTGTTCAGTTATTGTGTTGTAAACAAGAGTTATTTGAACAACACCCTTTCTTGTTCACAGACTAAGTTACTTAGAAAAAAAAAATATTGGGAAAAAAAAGAAACCCTTTGAAATTTGGGGTAAATAAAAGAATCCGTGTAGGTGGCATTTGCCACTGTTGCCATACACCGCTCATTTTCTGCCAACTTTGTGCCTCTATATCTTGGTAAGTACTGATGGCAAAAAATTTTTTTTAGGCTTAAAAAATCGGGAAAATAATCCCAACATTTTGTAAAATTTTTTTTTTTTTTTTTGAATTTTTTTTCGACATAGAATGACAGTTTAGAAAGGGGCCTGCGAGAGTCAAAGGGTTAAGGGTTAAACAGAGGATTTAGTTGAATGTGTCTTAATTCACTATTATTTGTTAGGTTTTTGCCTTTGTTCTCTATTATATGCAGTACAGTGGACCCTCGACCAGCGATGGCATCGATTAACGATAAATCTGACTAGCAATACATTTTATCGCAAAAATTTGCCTCGATTACGCTAAAAAAACCGCCCAAAACTATCATTCCCTCTGAGACGTGTCCCCTTCGGCCAGTGTTACAAGCCAGCCCCCCCGCGGTCGTTCCAAAACATACAATCGGAACATTTCATATTATCACAGCCTTTTTAGTGATTGCACCTGCAAAATAAGTCACCATGGGCCCCAAGAAAGCTTCTAGTGCCAACCCTACAGCAAAAAGGGTGAGAATTACTATGGATATGAAGAAAGAGATCATTGCTAAGTATGAAAGTGAGTGCATGTCTCCAAGCTGGCCAGGCTGTACACAAAACCCCAATCAACCATCGCTACTATTGTGGCCAAGAAAACAGCAATCAAGGAAGCTTTTTCTTGCCAAAGGTGCAACTATGTTTTCAAAAACTGAGATCGCAAGTGTTTAGAAGATGTTGAGAGACTGTTATTGGTATGGATAAATGAAAAACAGATAGCAGGAGATAGCATCTCTCAAGCGATCATATGTGAAAAGGCTAGGAAGTTGCATGACAATTTAATTAGAAAAATGCCAGCAACTAGTGGTGATGTGAGTGAATTTAAGGCCAGCAAAGGTTGGTTTGAGAGATTTAAGAATCGTAGTGGCATACATAGTGTGATAAGGCATGGTGAGGCTGCCAGTTTGGACCAATAAGCAGCTGAAAAATATGTGCAGGAATTCAAGGAGTACATAGACAGTGAAGGACTGAAACCTGAACAAGTGTTTAATGGTGACACTGACAATGTTGTGAAACACTTTAGGAATGTCATAAAGGAACAGGAGGTACAGGCGTCTATGGGCAGATATGTTGTGCAACAGAGGTCCAGTGACTCTCAAGCTGGTCCTAGTGGCATTAAAAGAAGAAGGGAAGTAACCTGGAAAAAGGACTTGCCACCTCAAGTCCTAATGGAAGGGGATTCCCCTTCTAAACACTAAGACCATCAACACACTCCCCTCGTCCCATCCCATCAATCATCACCAGATCTTCAATAAAGGTAAGTGTCATGTAACTGTGCATGTCTTCTTCAGTTTGTGTGTATTAAAATTAATATTTCATGTGTTAAATTTTTTTTTTCAATACTTTTGGGTGTCTTGCACGGATTAATTTGATTTCCATTATTTCTTATGGGGAAAATTAACTTGACTAACGATTATTCTGACTAACGATGAGCTCTCAGGAACGGATTAATAGCGTTAGTCGAGGGTCCACTGTATTAGTTGATTGCTACATTCAGTAATATAGACAGAATGATAGCTTTAATGCAGAATGCCTAGGGTGATACTTAGTTATGACTTTAGTCTAATATTTCTTTCTTTTACAGCTATCCTCTGTGTCCACCTATTGTTCGCTTTATCACAAAGATCTTCCACCCTAATATTTCTCGGCATGGAGACATTGGAATTGATTCCATACAGCACAATTGGTCATTAGCTCTCACTATCTCAAAGGTTCTCATCTCAATACAGTCCCTTCTCACTGACCCATATACGAAGGTGAGTGTTTCTCTTGTGTGTAGTAACAATCTTTCTTCACAAATAACCCAAAGTTAATAGGAAATTGTAAATATTTCTGCCCATCCTAAGACATTATCAAGTTGCAGCTAGACCCAGTCTCGACTTAATATTTGTCCACAACAAACTGTAATGTCATCTGAAGTTTCTACTCCAAATTGTGGGTTATTTGGAAATTGTTCCATGTGGTAGTTTTCATAATTTGTAATGCTATGACTGGATGTGATGCATTTAAGCTCACAGTTCTACTTGGCTCCTTCAAAATATTTATTTCTGGCCATTTCTGTTATACCTTACCCTGAAGGCAGGTCTTATTTAAAAAATTGCTGCATTTATTGTTCATTCTATACCTTGTATTTATACTATATATTAACCCTTTTACTATCCAAACCCTCAGTCTGAAACTTGTCCACAGTGTCCCAAGAATTTTCAAATTTTTTTTTTTATTTTTTTATGAAATAGTAGACAAAGGTAATAAAACAAAAAGTATGAAATTTGATCGAACATTTACAAAATTACGCTTTTGCGAATTTTGGTGTATCAGCAATATTTATTCATCAGTGATTTTGCCCACTTAAGAGTCCTATTTTAGCCCAATTACATTATTCATATAACCAAATTCTTAGCTATTTCACTAGTATGTCTTCCATTTTATCGATTGAGCACAAAAATGCCCAGTCAACTATTTCAATTACTCAATAAAATGGTCAGAAATTGGTAATTTTGCCAGTTTCACACTAATTTCAAAATATTACAGTTTCAAAATAAGGTCCAGAATAAACAATGCAGGCATTCCTGGCACTAAAATAATATTTCCTCTGTCTGTTAGTTGTTTCCAGGCTTTACACATGAATTCCATTTTGATTTTTTATTCCCACTAAGAATTTTTATTCACACAAAAAAATAAAAGATTTACTGTTATTCACTAATGTAATAATTATATAAATAATATCAGCACATTCTTGAACGCATATTAGACCCACCAGTTGATGTGTATTGGACGTGTGATGCGAGTTGTTTACTCTCAAATACTGGCAAAAATCAAACATTTCCTGATACTTTGAGTTCAATTTCAAGCTAAACCCAATCAAAATCATCTCTATTTCTGTAATATATCTTCTTTTCGATCAATTGAGAATACAATCATAAAAACCATGCAAAAATACACCACAAAGTTGCTGTTTTAAACCAAAAACAGTCACAGTTTTTTTCTTGTTATGCACTGCATTCTGCAGAATTGTTTTATATTTTGCAAACTTACCGCATAGACATATTCTCTCATATCTAGGTCCAAATTTACCACTCACAGCTTATCTGAATGAGCTGAGCTCATCACGTAGTACTATAGCATGGCCAGTGAACTCAGAGGTGTAGTACTGTGGCACAGTCAGTGAAATGGTTAACCCTTTCTGGGTTGGTCCCTATGACTTTGAAGCCAGTCAGTCCTGTAATACTGTGCCAAAATTCTGGCGGCTTCCAATCTTGCAGGAGAAAGCTGGTAGGCCTACATATGAGAGAATGGGTCTGCGTGGTCAGTGTGCGCAGTATAAAAAAAATCTTGCAGTATGCAGTGCATAATGAGAAAAAACTGAGACCTTGTTTTTGGTGTAAAACAGCAGATTTATGGTGTATTTTCATATGGTTTTTATGGTTGTATTATCAGTTTCTTGGTCTCATTTGATAGCATGGAATATATTACAGAAATAGAGACAATTTTGAATGGTTTACTGACTAAAAGTACCTTGAAATTGAGCTCAAAATAGTGGAAATGTTTGATTTTTGCTGATGTTCAAGAGTAAACAGATCATGTCATGCATCCAATGCACTTAAACTGGCAGGTCTAATATGCACTCACAAATGCAATGGCATTATGTATACAGTTATTACCATTATGTAGTAGTCTGAATGACAGTAAATCTTAAATTTTTTATGTGAATAAAAATTCAAAATGAAAAGCAAGTGTAATATAAGAGTTGCCTGAAGATGTGACGACTGAACAGAGAAAATGTTTTTTTTTAGTGCCAGGAATGTCTACATTATTTATTCTGGACCCAATTTTGAAAATGGCCTTTCTTGATTTTTGTATGAAACTGGCCAAATTAGTAATTTCTGATCACTTTATTGGGTAGTTGAAATAAATAAATGGGCAGTTTCTTGTATTCAGTTGATAGAATAAAAGGAGTTCTAGTTAAACAGCTAGGAGTTTGGTTGACTGGAACAATGGAATTAACCCAAAATAGGGCTCAAAGTGGGCAAAATTGCTGATGCGTAAATATTGCTGAGACCACTACTTCACGGGAGCGTAATTCCATAAGTTTTCCATCAAATTTCATGCTTTTTGTTTCATCACCTTCAGAAAAATATTCGCCATAATTTCATAAGATTTTTTTTTTTCAAATTCTTTGACCCTGGGAGCAAGTTTGCGAGCAGGGGTCTCGACTCTCAAACGATTAAAATAGTTTAAATTTATTTTCATGTAAGAAAATTAAACCACCAAAGTTTTGAATAATTTTATTTTTTCTTAATGTAAATATAGACTTAGTAAAATATAGTTTGTCATAAGTAGTAATCATAAAGTGCACCTTCAGTATGGTTGGGGGATGTTCAGCAACATCCTCTGCCTAACTACCTCTCAAAGAAGCTCAAAGAGGAATTAAGGTGTGTATAATTGTGCAACTTGTAGAGAAGCTTGGATAAGTCTCTGCTGCTTCTGATAAAGTAGGGTTCTTGTGTGTTGATCTATGTATAGAGGACTCTAGTAGTTTTAGAAAGATGATATGTTAAGGTGAGCTTTTTCTTCCAAGAGACATTTATTATTTTAATTGATAAAAGTTGTAATGTTTCCAGAAATTTTGTATTTGATTTTCTGGTTGATCTGTGTAAGTGATGGATCCAAGGAACTGGATTTATCCTTCTTTTCCTTGCATGGTATCTGAATGCTTTCCATTTCCTAGGCACTATCTGACCTGTATGCATTTAGAGCTTTTCCCTGATTTAAATAAAATGTGAAAGTAATGAGCTGAAACATTAATTTGCTCATACAGTGGAACCTCGTTTTTTGTGATTAACCCTTTGGGGGTTTCGGACGTACTAGTACGTCTTACAACCCAGGGTTTTGACGTACTAGTACGGCTAAATTCTAGCGCCCTCAAATCTAGCGAGAGAAAGCTGGTAGGCCTACATATGAAAGAATGGGTCTATGTGGTCAGTGTGCACTGTATAAAAAAAATCCTGCAGCACACAGTGCGTAATGAGAAAAAAAAAACTTTGACCGTGTTTTTGGATTAAAACAGCGACTTTGCACTGTATTTTCGTATGGTATTTATTGTTGTATTCTAGTTTTCTTGGTCTCATTTTATAGAATGGAAGACATATTACAGAAATTGAGATGATTTTGACTGGTTTTACAATGAAAAGTACCTTGAAATTGAGCTCAAATTAGCAGAAATGTTCAATTTTGACCAAAGTTCAAAAGTAAACAAATCATGCTAAGCGTCCAATACACATCAACTGGTGAGTCTAATATTCTTTCACAAGTGCGCTGATATTATTTATACCATTTCTACACTAATGCAGTAGTCTGCATAACAGTAAATCTTATTTTTTTTGTAAGAATAAAAATTCATAGTGGAAAGCCAAAGAAATATAAGAGGGGCCTGGGGATGTGACTAACAAACAGGGAGCTTGTTATTTTAGTGCCAGGAATGTCTTTCTTGTTTATTCTGGACCCTATTCGGAAATTGGCATCTTTTGAAATTTGTGTGAAATTGGCAAAATTGCTAAATTCTGACCACTTTATTGGATAATTGAAATTGATAAATGGGTGGTTTCTTGTACTCATTCGATAGAAAAAATGGAGTTTTAGCGAAATAGTTATGATTTTTGTCGACTAGTACACTGGAATTGGCCGAAAATAGGGCTCAAAGTGGGCAAAATCACCGATGCGTAAACATCGGCGAGACCGCTAACTTCGCAAGAGCATAATTCCGTAAGTTTTCCATGAAATTTCATAGTTTTGGTGTCATTATGATTGGGAAAAGATTCTCTATCTTTCCATAAGAAAAAATAATTTTTTCTTTTTTTTTAAATTTGGCTGACCCTGACCCCGACTCGGGGCTGTGTGTATGCATCCCAGACGAATGACTATTTGCAAGTCAAATGACGATTTGCGAGTCAGTGTTTTGGTGAAAAAAAAGTACGATTTCCGAAAATTACGACTTTCAAGTCTTACGAAAAATGAGGGTCCACTGTAATCCATTACAGACACCCAAAAATATTAACAAAAAATACATATCATAGAGAATAACTATATGTACTTTTACATACAGAAAAAAATGAGAAATAAACATAAATGACTAATGAAATGGATAAATGAACATTTAGCATCACTCTTACCTTTATTGAAGACTCTTGTTGGCATATGGAAGACGGCAAGAAGGGGAGAGGGAGGAGGAGAGGTTATTGTTTGGAAGGGGAATCAACAAATTCTTTGGCCCCACATTTGTCTGAACTTGCAGCCTCATCATGCCTTACCAAACTGTGTATGCCAGTTCGCTTCTTGAATTTGTTGAACCAGCCTCTGCTGGTCTTAAATTCACTAACAGCAGCACTCATTCCAGGCATTTCCTTTGCGAGATCCACATGCAGCTGCCTTGCCTTTTCACAAATTATCACCTCCAAACACTATCTTCCGCTGACAACTGAACATCTTCAATTGTTTGCAATCTCTGTTTCGTTAGCACATTTACCTCCTTTTGCAATATCAGCTTCCTTGATTTCTTTTTTCTTCGCCAGGATGGAACTGATCATTGTGGACTTCCCATACATCTTGGTGAGAACGGCCATGCATATGCCACTTTCATACTTTGTTACGAGTTCTTTCTTGAATTCTATCGTGTTTCTCGCCTTCTTTATCAAAGGGCTGGCACTCGGAACTTTCTTTGGCCCCATGGTGACTTATTTAGCAGTCGCACTCAATAAACAAGCACAAAAAACAATGGATTATTATGAAATGTTTTGGATGAATGCGTGGGGTGATGCTCATTCAACGAGAAACAAAAGCAGACTGAGTCATGAACGCATGGGGTGCTTTATGTGGGTGCTCTAGTACCCGAGTCACGTGGGCAAGCAGATGAGTTTGGTATGGACCATTTTCAACTGTACAAAAACCGAGCAGATGTACGAAAACTGGGACAAAAAAAGTAGTGAAAACCGAATCATATGAAAACTAGGGTGTACGAAAACCGAGGTTTCACTGTATAACATTTTTAGAGTGAGGCTGTCATATCTTGATACATTGGCTGAATCAACAAAGTCGAGTCAACAAAGTTGTGTTTATGGGAAAAAATTTGACTTATATTTTCAGAATGATCACAAACCTATGGGAAGACCTGCAGAATTATCTAATGAAAGTACTTCAACGTCTTTGAGCAGTGTTCATTTTATAACAAGTTTTGACTGCTGAGCAGAATTTTTTTATCCAGTCACCTTGTTGCTGGGAGGATGGTTTTTCACATTTTTCATTGCCACTGAGTTTTTAAATAATGTGCTAACAAACTTGAACACATTCTCCAGCTGTATTGTCACCTACAAAAAGCATAAGATGCTCTTTGGCCGTCCTAAAACCTATACACATCTTTGTTCACTGAATAAGATGGTTCTTCTGGTATTCTTACCAAAACACCAATAAGACACTTGTAGGGAGTGAGATGTGATATGACTCTCTACTATACTGTACATGAATCTACAGTGACTCTAACTGACAAGGTAAACATTAAGGCCAATAAAATAATTTAAATACCATTTACAAAAAAAAAACTGCATTTACTTATCAAATAGAAAACTTCAATTGAGTCTGGACAGTCTCATTTGATTTAGACTGTGGATGTGGCAGTACTGAAAGGAGTTACTATATACAGCTGCTCCTCGAATTATGATGGTTAGTCTTAAAGATAGTAGCCATTCATTTACTTATATATGACATATTCACATTCGACTTATATTTTTGATCTACAATGAGTTTGTTGGAACATAACCACATTGTAAGTCAAGGAGCACCTGTATGTATTTAGTACATAGAGGAAAGAAGAGAGTTCTATGTAAGACTTACTAGACTAATTCTAGAAAGATTCCAAGACCCCATCACTTACCAACTTGAGGCACTGAAGTGCTACAAGTGATCCTAATAAAAATTTCTATCAGTTCAGTCCTTGTAGCGAAAAGAAGAAAACTTTCAAGGAGAGTTATTATGTTCTCACATTAAGACAGGATATTGGAGTAAAGAATGTGTCGTGGCTTTGTGCATCGGTCATTTTCCCAAAAGGGAACAGTATCACACCCTTACACATCTAATATAAAAAAGTAACTCTTGCAAATACAAGTACATCACCAATTTTCTAGCACCCTTTGTTCCAAAGCCTTGCTGGATGTTTTGCCGGACCAACAGAGGTCACGCAATAATTAAACAGTTCAACCTTGACCCACTGGTTATACATTTCCAGTGTCTCTAAACCATTATGGACAGCTAGAAACTTGGGAAGGGCATCTGAGGTACTTGAGGTTGAAGATAGGATTTTCAGATGTCGGCCTACTGCTGTGACACATTCTTCTTGGCTCTCTGTTTAAGCACTTCATCCAAGCAAAACTGTTTCATGTGCTTTGACTTTTCCTGTGGAACTTTGTATGCTTCAGATAAAGATTTGTTAGCTCTTGTTTAATCACAAAGTTACATTATTCAAACCCCTTGATAAATTCACCTGAGAACTCAGTTAACTTATCACTAGTATCAGATCAAGGAAAGGGGGTGACTTGATGCAGGTGAAGGGCTCTTAATCCAAGGAACTGGACTTATCTTCCCCTTGGATCAAACTCCCAGGCACTGTATGACCCCTATGGGTTTAGTGCTTTCAGCAACATCTGATTCTTGCATCCTCCTTAGAAGTCATAGCTAGGGTTAAATGTAAGCAAAATAAGCTAAGAATGACACAAAATCAAGGGATTACCATCAACAATTGTAGTGTAAACAACATAAATGAGCGTGCACTACACAATGCCATCTGTGGCCATCCATTAAACTAGCCTGGCAATCGCAAGAATTTAAAGTGCCAGGTCATCGGTTCCCAGAAAATAGGTGCCAGGTCATCAGGTCCCAGAAAATTGGTGGAATACCTGTGGTGTAATAGGATGTAAATAATTATAAAAATAACATTCATTTTGGCGCCTTTCAAAATCTCACCCTGCAACACTGAGCTTGTGAGAGTATTTCTGTGTCGCTAGTAGTGGAAGAAGCAGAGTTCTACTACTTGTGGTGAATAACTCACACTGATCTGCAACTTCATATAACTTTTTTTTATGTAAAACAACAGCTTTCTCCCTCTGACATAAGATGACCAGAAAAAGAAGAAACAAAGTTTTTCTTCTTTTTACATTTAGTAATTTATACAGGAGCATTTTAGTCACCTCTTATGACATGCATGACTTCATATAAATATAAAAAATATAAAAATAATTCAAATAGGTCAGCTTCAAAAAACATTCGAAGGTGATGGGTTTGTATTCTGTACTTTTTTTTTTTAATTATTTTTAATGCTCTTTAATATAAGGAAAAAAAGAAGGTAATTTCCCACCATAGGAGTAGCAAGGCTCCCCAACAAGCACAATTTGAATTAAAAATCTTGGATGAGCCTCCTTATTATCTGCATACAGATAGTAAGAAATTGTGGATCAAAATTATGTCTTCTTTATTATTTCAGGTGTGTATGGAACCTGAGATTGGTAGATTGTATGATTGTGACAAGAAGCAGTTTGAGTGTGTAGCAACATCTTGGACATGGAAGTATGCCATGCATGATGCTCTCATCCCTGAGCCAGTTCCAGCTTCAGTGCTGAGCAACACCTTTCTAACATGTGGAACTTCTTCTCAGGTCAGAGCCATACCTTTAAAACGTGTAAGACTCTTGTCAATTCTGAGCCTCACTTTTATAACATGTGGGGACCTCTTCTTAGGTCAGCCTAACCTTTTTAACATGTAAAAACTTCTCTCAGTCCATAACAACATTTTAACTTGTGGCCTTTTCTTAAATTACAGAAACATCTCTGTGTATATCATTGGTAGAATATACAGACAAATGTCTTAACAAGACATAATATGCAGCATATGGAATTTTATTGAGAAGATGTATTGATATATTGAGAAGATATTGAGAAGTGTAGAGGAGAGAGAGAGATTCTGGGAAATGTTGAGTGAATGCGTGGGGAGTTTTGAATCAAGTGTGAGAGTAATGGTGGTTGGGGATTTCAATGCTAAAGTGGGTAAAAATGTTATGGAGGGAGTAGTAGGTAAATTTGGGGTGCCAGGGGTAAATGTAAATGGGGAGCCTTTAATTGAGCTATGTGTAGAAAGAAATTTGGTAATAAGTAATACATATTTTATGAAAAAGAGGATAAATAAATATACAAGGTATGATGTAGCACGTAAAGAAAGTAGTTTGTTAGATTATGTATTGGTGGATAAAAGGTTGATGGGTAGGCTCCAGGATGTACATGTTTATAGAGGGGCAAGTGATATATCGGATCATTATTTAGTTGTAGCTACAGTTAGAGTAAGAGGTAGATGGGAAAAGAGGAAGGTGGCAACAACAAGTAAGAGGGAGGTGAAAGTGTATAAACTAAGGGAGGAGGAAGTTCGGGTGAGATATAAGCGACTATTGGCAGAAAGGTGGGCTAGTGCAAAGATGAGTAGTGGGGGGGTTGAAGGATTGGAATAGTTTTAAAAATGCAGTATTAGAATGTGGGGCAGAAGTTTGTGGTTATAGGAGGGTGGGGGGCAGGAGGAAAGAGGAGTGATTGGTGGAATGATGAAGTAAAGGGTGTGATAAAAGAGAAAAAGGTAGCTTATGGGAGGTTTTTACAAACCAGAAGTGTTATAAGAAGAGCAGAGTATATGGAGAGTAAAAGAAAGGTGAAGAGAGTGGTGAGAGAGTGCAAAAGGAGAGCAGATGATAGAGTGGGAGAGGCACTGTAAAGAAATTTTAATGAAAATAAGAAAAAATTTTGGAGTGAGTTAAACAAGTTAAGAAAGCCTAGGGAAAGTATGGATTTGTCAGTTAAAAACAGAGTAGGGGAGTTAGTAGATGGGGAGAGGGAGGTATTAGGTAGATGGCGAGAATATTTTGAGGAACTTTTAAATGTTGAGGAAGAAAGGGAGACGGTAATTTCATGCACTGGCCAGGGAGGTATACCATCTTTTAGGAGTGAAGAAGATCAGAATGTAAGTGTGGTGGAGGTACGTGAGGCATTACGTAGAATGAAAGGGGGTAAAGCAGCTGGAACTGATGGGATCATGACAGAAATGTTAAAAGCAGGGGGGGATATAGTGTTGGAGTGGTTGGTACTTTTGTTTAATAAATGTATGAAAGAGGGGAAGGTACCTAGGGATTGGCGGAGAGCATGTATAGTCCCTTTATATATAGGGAAAGGGGACAAAGGAGATTGTAAAAATTATAGAGGAATAAGTTTACTGAGTATACCAGGAAAAGTATACGGTAGGGTTATAATTGAAAGAATTAGAGGTAAGACAGAATGTAGGATTGCAGATGAGCAGGGAGGCTTCAGAATGGGTAGGGGATGTGTAGATCAAGTGTTTACATTTAAGCATATATGTGAACAGTATTTAGATAAAGGTAGGGAAGTTTTTATTGCATTTATGGATTTAGAAAAGGCATATGATAAAAGTGGATAGAGGAGCAATGTGGCAGATGTTGCAAGTATATGGAATAGGTGGTAAGTTACTAAATGCTGTAAAGAGCTTTTATGAGGATAGTGAGGCTCAGGTTAGGGTGTGTAGAAGAGAGGGAGATTACTTCCCGGTAAAAGTAGGTCTTAGACAGGGATGTGTAATGTCACCATGGTTGTTTAATATATTTATAGATGGGTTGTAAAGAAGTAAATGCTAGGGTGTTTGGGAGAGGGGTGGGATTAAATTATGGGGAATCAAATTCAAAATGGGAAGTGACACAGTTATTTTTTGCTGATGATACTGTGCTTATGGGAGATTCTAAAGAAAAATTGCAAAGGTTAGTGGATGAGTTTGAGAATGTGTGTAAAGGTAGAAAGTTGAAAGTGAACATAGAAAAGAGTAAGGTGATGAGGGTATCAAATGATTTAGATAAAGAAAAAATTTGGGTATCAAATTGGGGAGGAGGAGTATGGAAGAAGTGAATGTTTTCAGATACTTGGGAGTTGACGTGATGGCGGATGGATTTATGAAGGATGAGGTTAATCATAGAATTGATGAGGGAAAAAAGGTGAGTGGTGCATTGAGGTATATGTGGAGTCAAAAAACGTTATCTATGGAGGCAAAGAAGGGAATGTATGAAAGTATAGTAGTACCAACACTCTTATATGGATGTGAAGCTTGGGTGGTAAATGCAGCAGCGAGGAGACGGTTGGAGGCAGTGGAGATGTCCTGTCTAAAGGCAATGTGCGGTGTAAATATTATGCAGAAAATTCGGAGTGTGGAAATTAGGAGAAGGTGTGAGTTAATAAAAGTATTAGTCAAAGGGCAGAAGAGGGGTTGTTGAGGTGGTTTGGTCATTTAGAGAGAATGGATCAAAATAAAATGACATGGAAAGCATATAATCTATAGGGGAAGGAAGGAGGGGTAGGGGTCGTCCTCGAAAGGGTTGGAAAGAGGGGGTAAAGGAGGTTTTGTGGGCGAGGGGCTTGGACTTCCAGCAAGTGTGCATGAGCGTGTTAGATAGGAGTGAATGGAGACGAATGATACTTGGGACCTGACGATCTGTTGGAGTGTGAGCAGGGTAATATTTAGTGAAGGGATTCAGGGAAACAGGTTATTTTCATATAGTCGGACTTGAGTCCTGGAAATGGGAAGTACAATGCCTGCACTTTAAAGGAGGGGTTTGGGATATTGGCAGTTTGGAGGGATATGTTGTGTATCTTTATGTGTATATGCTTCTAAACTGTTGTATTCTGAGCACCTCTGCGAAAGCAGTGATAATGTGTGAGTGTGGTGAAAGTGTTGAATGATGATGAAAGTATTTTCTTTTTTGGGTCACCCTGCCTCGGTGGGAGGCGGCCGACTTGCTGAAAAAAAAAAAAAAAAAAAATTGTTCACCTGGCACTTCATCACTTTTCGCATAGATGGGTAAAAGTAGAGCATGTATATACTGGAAAGATGTAAGTTGTAGAGAAGGGCTGGTGATATCACCTGCATTAACCCTTTCAGGGTCGGCAGGACCTCTCCCAAACCTGTTCTCAGGGTCGGTAAATAAAAAAAAAAAATTTTCTTATGAAAAGATAGTTTTTTTTTTCTAAATTTTATAGACTAAAAAAAAAAATTGCCATCAATACTTACCGAGATATGGAGGCATGAAATTGACAGAAATTGAACCGCATATGGCAACATCGCCGACTGCCGGTCACCCGGTAATAGTTTATTTTGCTTTTTCTACTTTTTTTTTTATTTTTAATATTTTATTTTTTCAAGTAACTTTTATGGCCTCTGAGACCAATATAAAGACTATTTGGTATATATTCACTTATTGTATGCTACACAATAACAGCACAAACTTTGCTGTCATTATATTGTTTACAAAACATGTTTACACAAACCAACAATAAAAAATGTTGTTTATTACTATATTTCTATCATATATATATATAAATATACAGCAGGGCCCCGCTTTACGGCGGTTCGCTTTACGGCGTTCCGCTAATACGGACATTTCAAATTATGACCAAAACTCGCTATACGGCTCCCCCCACCTGTCTTTCTAATACGGTCACAGCTGCCCACCGAGTTTGTTTACATTCTCCCTGAGCACATCTCCTTATTATGTCTGGAAACTTTCCAAAATTTCAAGTGTTTTAAAGTTATTGTATATTTTATATGTATTGTACTTGATAATTAAACTTGTGTACACCTGTACCTAAATAAACTTACACACTGTGCTGGCATGTAGGTACACATTAAAAATCACTAAGTCTCTCTACTCTTGACGCAATAATAATAATAATAATAATAATAATAATAATAATAATAATAATAATAAAAATAATCTCTTGGGCGCATTAATGTCGCATATTACGTTAATATAGACATTTCCCTTAATCTATCTATGATATTTTTTTCAAAATTATATAAGAAACACATTATGTAACACTCAAACATGATACATGCACCCACAGTATAAAAATTTATACAAATATATATGAGATGTTTACCAAACGGTTTGTAGAAGTGTCGGAAGAATTACGTTTTCTCTAGCCCATCACCTGTTACTAGGGATAACTGTAGAAAAATATTCCTTTCGTATGCCTTCACTTTATAGCTATAATTCTGTACTAACTTGTACACAGTGTAAGAGTATTTGTTTCGTGATTTAATTATTATAATAATAATAAAAATATTATAAGGTAAAAGTTTCACAAACTCTTACAAATGTACATGAATGAACTAAAACTGGACACGTATTAATACCGTCTATTTCGCCTGACCGAGTGATCGTCCAAGTTTGTTTGTTTACGCTGTCTGAGCTCGGTGTATCATTAAATGTTGTATATTACGTTAATATACACATTTTCATTAATCCATCCGTGATATTTTTTTCAAAATTATATAATAAACACGATACATAACATAAATACATAACAACATGTGTAGAGAACCTAGGATAACCCAAAAAAGTCAGAGTGACTTACTTCCATTGCCTTCACTCAGAGCTTCATTTCTTCTCAAAATGATGTTACATGAGAATGGGAGTGTTCTTCTTTATTTATTCTACCGTATCAATGTAGAGACAACCTGTACACAATGTAACTTGTACACAAACCAGACGTGTACACTTTGTTTGTTTACAAAACTTACCTTCGCCTGGTTTGTTTACATAACTCTGCGCCTGTCCTCTCTCATGCACTCATTCTTTCTCTCTGGTATGGTAGCCTGGCTGACTACCATACATACCACACTTGATTTTTTACAATAAATACTACTCATCTCACCCTATATTTTAAGGTAAGTAATGAGTGAACTGTATATACATTTTATTGCTCTGGGATGCTTAAATATCATAGAATAGTATGTGTGGGTGGGTTGGCCTGATATGGTAGCCTGGCTGACTACCATACATACCACACTTGATTTCTTACAATAAATACTACTTGTCTCACCCTAGATTAAGACTATAAATATTTTAAGGTAAGTAATGAGTGCACTATGTGTGTATTGTACTTTTTTTATTGTTTTTTTGATGCCTGGTTCTACTGCTAACATAATATATGTTAGTGTAAACTTGTTATCTAGTGTTTGTATGCATTTGTAAGTGGAAAAAAAGGGTGTTCCACTTTACGGCGGTTTCCGCTTTACGGCGGTAGCCTGGAATCTAACCCGCCATATAAGTGGGGCCCTCCTGTACTCATATACCTAGGTAGTAGGTTGGTAGACAGCAACCGCCCATGGAGGTACTACCGTCTTGCCAAGTGAGTGTAAAACAGAAACCTGTAATTGTTTTACATGATGGTAGGATTGCTGGTGTCTTTTTTCTGTCTCATAAACATGCAAGATTTCAGGTACGTCTTGCTACTTCTACTACACTTAGGTCACACTACGCATACATGTACAAGCATATATATATATACACACCCCTCTGGGTTTTCTGCTATTTTCTTTCTAGTTCTTGTTCTTGTTTATTTCCTCTTATCTCCATGGGGAAGTGGAACAGAATTCTTCCTCCGTAAGCCATG